AGAATGAAGATACAACCGTTCAAAATCTTTGGGATGCAGCAAAAGCAGTCCTGAGGGGGAAATACATCGCAATACAAGCATCCATTCAAAAACTGGAAAGAACTCAAATACAAAAGCTAACCTTACACATAAAGGAGCTAGAGAAAAAACAGCAAATGGACCCTACGCCCAGCAGAAGAAGAGAGTTGATTAAAATTCAAGCAGAACTCAACGAAATCGAGACCAGAAGAACTGTGGAACAGATCAATAGAACCAGGAGTTGGTTCTTTGAAAGAATTAATAAGATAGATAAACCATTAGCCAACCTTATTAAAAAGAAGAGAGAGAAGACTCAAATTAATAAAATTATAAATGAGAAAGGAGAGATCACTACCAACACCAAGGAAATACAAACGATTTTAAAAACATATTATGAACAGCTTTACGCCAATAAATTAGGCAATCTAGAAGAAATGGACGCATTCCTGGAAAGCCACAAACTACCAAAACTGGAACAGGAAGAAATAGAAAACCTGAACAGGCCAATAACCAGGGAGGAAATTGAAGCAGTCATCAAAAACCTCCCAAGACACAAGAGTCCAGGGCCAGATGGCTTCCCAGGGGAATTCTATCAAATGTTTAAAGAAAAAATCATACCTATTCTACTAAAGCTGTGAGGCCAGCATCACCTTAATTCCAAAACCAGACAAAGACCCCACCAAAAAGGAGAATTACAGACCAATATCCCTGATGAACATGGATGCGAACATTCTCAACAAGATACTAGCCAATAGGATCCAACAACACATTAAGAAAATTATTCACCATGACCAAGTAGGATTTATCCCCGGGACACAAGGCTGGTTCAACACTCGTAAAACAATCAGTGTGATTCATCATATCAGCAAGAGAAAAACCAAGAACCATATGATCCTCTCATTAGATGCAGAGAAAGCATTTGACAAAATACAGCATCCATTCCTGATCAAAACTCTTCAGAGTGTAGGGATAGAGGGAACTTTCCTCGGCATCTTAAAAGCCATCTACGAAAAGCCCACAGCAAATATCATTCTCAATGGGGAACCACTGGGAGCCTTTCCCCTAAGATGAGGAACAAGACAGGGATGTCCACTCTCACCACTGCTATTCAACATAGTACTGGAAGTCCTGGCCTCAGCAATCAGACAACAAAAAGACATTAAAGGCATTCAAATTGGCAAAGAAGAAGTCAAACTCTCCCTCTTCGCCGATGACATGATACTCTACATAGAAAACCCAAAAGCCTCCACTCCAAGATTGCTAGAACTCATACAGCAATTTGGTAGCGTGGCAGGATACAAAATCAATGCCCAGAAGTCAGTGGCATTTCTATATGCTAACAATGAGACTGAAGAAAGAGAAATTAAGGAGTCAATCCCATTTACAATTACACCCAAAAGCATAAGATACCTAGGAATAAACCTAACCAAAGAGGTAAAGGATCTATACCCTAAAAACTATAGAACACTTCTGAAAGAAATTGAGGAAGACACAAAGAGATGGAAAAATATACCATGTTCATGGATTGGCAGAATTAATATTGTGAAAATGTCAATGTTACCCAGGGCAATTTACAGGTTTAATGCAATCCTTATCAAAATACTATGGACTTTCTTCAGAGAGTTAGAACTAATTATTTTAAGATTTGTGTGGAATCAGAAAAGACCCCGAATAGCCAGGGGAATTTTAAAAAAGAAAACCATAGCTGGGGGCATCACAATGCCAGATTTCAGGTTGTACTACAAAGCTGTGGTCATCAAGACAGTGTGGTACTGGCACAAAAACAGACACATAGATCAATGGAACAGAATAGAGAACCCAGAAGTGGACCCTGAACTTTATGGTCAACTAATATTCGATAAAGGAAGAAAGACTATCCACTGGAAGAAAGACAGTCTCTTCAATAAATGGTGCTGGGAAAATTGGACATCCACATGCAGAAAAATGAAACTAGACCACTCTCTTGCACCATACACAAAGATAAACTCAAAATGGATGAAAGATCTAAATGTGAGACAAGATTCCATCAAAATCCTAGAGGAGAACACGGGCAACACCATTTTTGAACTTGGCCACAGTAACTTCTTGCAAGATACATCCACGAAGGCAAAAGAAACAAAAGCAAAAATGAACTATTGGGACTTCATCAAGATAAAAAGCTTTTGCACAGCAAAGGATACAGTCAACGAAACTAAAAGACAACCTACAGAATGGGAGAAGATATTTGCAAATGACATATCAGATAAAGGGCTAGTTTCCAAGATCTATAAAGAACTTATTAAACTCAACACCAAAGAAACAAACAATCCAATCATGAAATGGGCAAAAGACATGAAGAGAAATCTCACAGAGGAAGACATAGACATGCCAACATGCACATGAGAAAATACTCTGCATCACTTGCCATCAGGGAAATACAAATCAAAACCACAATGAGATACCACCTCACACCAATGAGAATGGGGAAAATTAACAAGGCAGGACACAACAAATGTTGGAGAGGATGCGGAGAAAAGGGAACCCTCTTACACTGTTGGTGGGAATGTGAACTGGTGCAGCCACTCTGGAAAACTGTGTGGAGCTTCCTCAAAGAGTTAAAAATAGACGACCCTATGACCCAGCAATTGCACTGTTGGGGATTTACCCCAAAGATTCAGATGCAATGAAACGCCGGGGCACCTGCACCCCGATGTTTATAGCAGCAATGTCCACAATAGCCAGACTGTGGAAGGAGCCTCGGTGTCCATCGAAAGATGAATGGATAAAGAAGATGTGGTCTATGTATACAATGGAATATTACTCAGCCATTAGAAATGACAAATACCCACCATTTGCTTAAACATGGATGGAACTGGAGGGTATTATGCTGAGTGAAGTAAGTCAATCAGAGAAGGACAAACAGTGTATGGTCTCATTCATTTGGGGAATATAAATAATAGTGAAAGGGAATAGAAGGGAAGGGAGAAGAAATGTGTGGGAAATATCAGAAAGGGAGACAGAACATAAAGACTCCTAACTCTGGGAAATGAACTAGGGGTGGTGGAAGGGGAGGGGGGGGTCGGGGTGAATGGGTGACAGGCACTGAGGGGGACACTTGATGGGATAAGCACTGGGTGTTATTCTGTATGTTGGTAAATTGAACACCAATAAAAAATTAATTTATTAAAAATAAATAAACAAACAAATAAATAAATAAAAATTAAAAAAAGAAAGTGAATATTTGTTTTGTTTTAAATATTTTATTTATTTATTTGACAGAGAGAGTACACAAGCAGAGAGATCAACAGGCAGAGGTAGAGGGAGAAGCAGGCTCTCTGCTGAGCAGGGAGCCATATGTGGGGCTGTATCCCAGGACCCTGGGTTCATGACCCAAGCCAAAGGCAGACGCTTAACCGACTGAGCCACCTAGGTGCCCCAAAAGTGACTATTTGAGATTTAGACTTTCAAGGATTTTTTTTCTGAATGGCCTTATTTAATTGAACCTCCTAAAGACTACAAGAAGGAAATGTCTGGACAAACACTAATGAAAGGATTTCTAAATGTCTGTTTAGTGCTCCACTGAAAAGAAGATTACACAACCTTCAAATATTATTCAAACTGGTTTTGACCATTTGATGCAAAAATTTCCTTTTGTGAAAATCGAATCAGTTTATCAGAGGCAGTAGTAACTAAAAATTGTTTTTCCCACAGCTGAATGACTGTGGGAATAGCATTTTTCTCCTTTATTACCATCCCTGGAACAGAAACTAAGGGCAATAGGAGTTCATGTGATAAAAATCCAATAAAGTGGCCCCCCTATTTATGAATAACAACATTAAAATAGCAAGTAACCATCAAATGTCCCAAATGTTGCCAGATGAGAGATTATTCTAGGGAAGATCCCACAGTTAGTGATGTGATTCAGGACCAAAGAAAATGTGCACAAATAATTAATCACTTGGTTTCCCACAATAAAAGAAATGAATCATCTTATGTTTATAAACATAGTGTCTGAGGGCACTTTGGGCCTACAAAGGGAAATTTAACAAAAGTCTCTAAAAACAGTGGTCTGTCAGTGAAAAAGAGAACTTGTATCAAGTGAGACTTCAGGGAAGTGCTCATTTAGTCCTTCACTCATCACTGGGTGAATATATGAAAATAAACCAAGAGCACTCCTGTTTTGAATAAAATCTATGTAAATCCTTAAAGTAGAACCAGTTTGGTCTCCTCAGAATAGCTGATTTGTTTTCCTACTCATTCACAGAATTTCTGGATTTTCACTCCAGAAATAAAAATCTCATCTACCTACCGGTCTCTCGAAGCTCTAGTTTAGCAGAGTGGCTCTTCAGGTTACTCTGAAAAGTTTCAAGGACTTTGAAAAGTAGCTATGCAATAACTCTGAAAACTTATAAGCGTGCATGTTCTTCATTCCATCAGACCTACCTTGAAGAATCTGTCAGAAATAAAGTATCAGGGCAGCCCCGGTGGCTCAGCGGTTTAACGCTGCCTTCAGTCCAGGGCGTGATCCTGGAGACCTAGGATCGAGTCCCACATCGGGCTCCCTGCATGGAGTCTGCTTCTCCCTCTGCCTGTGTCTCTGCTTCTCTCTCTCTCTCTCTCTCTCTCTCTCTTTCTCTCTTTCTGTGTCTCTCATGAACAAATAAATAAAATTTTTAAAAGAAAAAAAGAGAAATAAAACATCAGTAGTTACGAATGTATGGAACTAGGTGTTTATTGAAGCTTTGTCTTTATGATGACAATCCAGTAATGACCTAGATGATCATAATAGAGGAACATATTAACTGCTATATTATATATTATATTTAAAAATAATGACACAAGTACACTATCAAAAATACAGATCCCTATAATATTATTGACCTTGGAAAAATAATAAATTAAGCATGTTCATACCAAGAAATGCAGACTGTTTGGCCCATTTATTAAATTTAAGTAGAGTTCAGTCAAACACTGGTCAAATATCACCTGGCTTCTCAGCACAGTCAGAATGTGTGTGAATCCACTCTTCTTCGCCAGAGTTTCATCAAAGCTTTTTTCATCTCACTGTTTCTCAAACTGTAGATCAGTGGATTCAGCAGAGGTGTAAGCGATGTGTAAGCCAATGACATGAGTTTCTTAGTTTCTGGGGAGTAGCCAGATTTTGGTTGTAAATAAGTCATACTGGCTGTGCCATAGAAGAGGGTCACAGACGTAAGATGGGAGGCACAAGTGGAAAAGGCCTTTTGCCTCCCGGTGGCTGATGGCATCCTCAGGATGGCAAAGAGAATCTGAATATAAGACAGGAGTATCAACACGAAAGGAACCATGACAATCAAAATGGTGCCAGTGAATGCATAGATTTCAAACAGAAACGTGTCTGCACATGCAAGTTCTAGCACTGGAGGAGTCTCACAGAAGAGATGATTGATTTCATTGGGGCCACAAAAAGGAAAACTGAAAACCCATGTGGTCTGCACAGTAGCCACCATGATCCCTGAGACCCATGAAAACATTACTAATTTCACAAAAACCCTTTTGTTCATAATCATTGGGTAGCTCAGAGGGTGACAGATTGCAGCAAATCGGTCATAAGCCATCGTCCCCAGGAGAAAACATTCAGTGCCACCAAAGAAAAGGATGAAATACATCTGTGCAAAACAGCTCACAAATGAAATGGACGTTTTCTCCCTGGTGAGGACCACCAGCATTTCAGGCATAATGACTGCGCTGAAACTCACGTCCACCACAGACAGGTTCTGGAGAAACAGGTACATGGGCACGTGGAGGCTCTGTTCCAAGCAGATGATGACTATAATGATGGCATTTCCCATCAGAGTCACCAGGTAAACAGCCAGGAAAACCCCAAGGAGCTGCTCTTGGAGTTCAGGGAAGTTAGAAAAGCCCAAGAGGATGAATTCAACCACAGAGCTTTGATTTTGCCTTTTCATTTCAGTGGAAAAGAGTATGCTGTTTTTATGGACATTGTATACAAATTATGAGGTCACACAGTCCAATAGCTGGTAGTTTGAGTCTTAAATTCTTGGCAGAAGATGTAATAATGAATTCATTTGTCAGATCTTCAAGTTGGCAAATTTTGAGAATAACCAATATATTGGAAGAGTGAGTCGTTCAAATACAAATGAAGTGAGAAATTTTGGCTCAGAAATCTTGCTTTCAAGGTATGAAATAGCAGGTGTTCTCTGCCAACTTTTTTGCTGGGTTGAAAATAAATCCTATTCTTAAAACACAGAATCCATTGTCCATTACATTGATGTATGCATTTCTGTTCTTTTCTATTGTATTTCATATGTGACTTTTCCAATAAAGGCTTTAAATAAAAAATAGCAAAAAAGGACAAAAATTTATAGCTATTAATTCTAAATTTTGATGAGTATTTATTACAAATGCCAAAGTTCAAAATACATTTATATTGCCTTATGAAAAATGAGATACGTGAATAATATACCAAATAGAGAAACAATCAAAAGGGGTTGAATTTTAGATGCTCTTATCTCAGATGACCGTAAGTAAACTATTTCAAGCACATCTATTTTTTGGTTAGAATGGATCTATTATTCTGAAATTTGCCTGAATGAAAAACTTTAGAGATCAGTTCTCCATCGCCCATCCTTATGACCATAAAATGAATTGGGGGGCTATACAAAATTCCATTTTTGGTTATTCTGGTCCCATGATTTAAACTCACTCCGTTTCTCTCTCTCTCTCTCTCTCTCTCTCTCTCTCTCTCTCTACCCCCCACCACACACATATTATTAGCAAGTTCATTTAACCATTAACAATTCATTAAACACTGTTTGTGCACCCACCATGTGGCGCCCATATACCCTCAAAGATACATTCATGACATAAATTTGACAGAGAGGTCTTCCCGGAGAGAACAGCATAAAATAGCATCCCCTACCCCCTCCTCCAGCACCCTATGACTTCCACCTCCCTGGTTTATATTTTGCCATAACACTTGTCACCAACTGAAATCACACATATTTATTAGGGTTTTATGCTTATTATCTAATTCCCCCTTCTGGAACGTAAGCTCCAGGAAGACAGGAACTTTGTTCTGTTCTTTTCTGTATCTTCGGTGCCTGGAATAGATAATAACTAGATATAATAGATGCTAAACCAGTATTTGTTGAATAGATGGAATAATATTAAAATTCAGAAACCTGGACTCTGACCTTAGGGAATCTATTGTCTGAATGAAAAATAAATCAAGTGAATAGAGAGCACCAGAATCAACCCATGGCTTTTTTGTAGAGGTTTGCAGCCCCTGTAGGATTGGAGATATCACTGAAGGGGAGGGCTGGGCCACAATCCTGATTCTGCTACTACCTCCAAGATGAGTCTCTGAGTCTTCTTGCACTCAGGCTCCCCTGTGTGGTTGGGAGCAGGGCCTCCCTTCTGGACCTGACATGGTGTTTCTCTGATTTGTTCATAGAAAACTGCAGCCTTCCCTTCCATTCAGATGAGGGGGAGGCTGAAGGGAAGGTAGAAAAGCGGTGGGTGGGCACAGAGGAGGAAGCATATATGCTGAGTCCTTTGGGCTTACCAGTCCCAAGCACAGCTGACCATCTTCTTCCTGTCTAGCTGCTCTTCTGAGCCCCTATCTGGATGGAGCACCTTGCTTCTCCCCCCACTCCTCCCTTGTCACCCAGACCTTCTCTCCCTCCCCTGTCCCCAGCATCCTATTCACTGTCAGACCCCCAGGTGTTTAAAATCTGGAGTCATGGCCTCTTTCCTTCCCCTGCTTCCTCCCCTTCCCTACCCTCATCATTAAATGCTCTCCTAATGGCTTCTCCATGTTTTGTGACTTCTTTTCCAATCTATCCCTCATACCTCTGCCAAAATAATATCATCCTTTCTCCCAGAATCTTCAGGGTCTCCTTTTAAGACTCTTAACTCTGGGAAATGAACTAGGGGTGGTGGAAGGGGAGGAGGGCGCGGGGTGGGGGTGAATGGGTGACAGGCACTGAGGGGGGCACTTGACAGGATGAGCACTGGGTGTTATTCTGTATGTTGGCAAATTATACACCAATAAAAAATAAATTTATTATAAAAAAATAAATAAAATAAAATGCCTACATCTCAGGCTGGCATTTAAGAGAAACTAGATGGGAACAAGTGTTTTAGAAATATGAAAAGGGAAAATTACTTCTGAGTGGAGAGGGGAAGTAAACAACCATAATCAAAGGATGCTATGGGTGGAAGAGCCAGGAAGTAGAAGGAGGAAGGCAGATTTGTTCAAATCAGAGGTATTTGTAACATCTTAATACTAGAGTGGGGGCCTCCTGGTCTTTGGATGGTGCTTTGAAAACTGACAATATTTCATTGTAGGACATGAAGAAGCCGGGAAGACAGAAGCTGAATATATGTATTGTTGCCTTGAACTCAGATTATTAGGACATTAACAGATAGTAAAAAGCAAGTTGATTTACAGAGTTTAACCATGGTGATAAATCAAATATCTGTATTAACTTTAATAATTATGTTTTGGATATCAAGTAATCTCTAAAGTTAGTAAGGTGGACCCTGAAGAAAAAAAAAGCATTTAAGTACCATTTGTAGTAGATAAAAATATATATTAAACTCCAAGTATATAAAACTAATAAGTTTTTAAAATATTAAAATTTAGAGTATCTTATTAAAAATAGATGAACTTCAGGGGACCGATAGTTATGAAACAAATCTAAATCACTGTCTTTATGTATGATAGAAAAAAGAAAAGAAAAGAAAAGAAAAGAAAGAAAGAAAGAAAGAAAGAAAGAAAGAAAGAAAGAAAAAAACAACTGAACCTGAATGCTCCATCTTTTCCCTTTCACATGAGTTACCCTGATGGTGACCTGACTGATTCAATGACATGTCCTTCTGGTTCTACTGTTAACTTTCTGTATGACCTTGGCCAAATCACCTCCTTCTCTGGGTTTCATCTTTGTACGTGACTGGCCTTATTTCTGATCACCTCCCACCCCAGCTACAAAGCTCTATGAATTGATGATTAGTGCAAGCAAACTACTTAAAGTTCTAATTATTGCCCAAAGTTTTATGTGACTATAAAAGACAGAGTGGTTGACATTCTCACTTGAGCAATGATAAGTATCTCCAATTATCAGTGAGAAGAACTTTAAGTGGCAAACCCACTAACAGGCACATAAGCAGAATCTTCAGTTCCTTACCTCTCATTTTCATTCATTCAATCATCTGTTTCACTTCTTTAGTTTAAAAAAATACTCTCCCATAAATAAAACTTAGTGATTCAATGCACTGATTATATAACATTATATAGTATTGAATGTTTGCCCTTGGAGAATTCTCTGGAAAACTTACACTCAATTTATATAGACTTCCCCCTATGGACATAAGAAAGCTCAATTACTCAAACTTGAAGCAACACTCCTTCAGGTTTCTATAGGGATAAACGTCTATTCACTCAAGAGACTCAATTTCACCATGATGCACCCAACACCACCATTAAGGAATGAAAGCAAAGGCTGAGTAAAAGTAAAGACAGTGAAGACAGGCAGGGATAGGGGTATAAGGAAAGGCAGGTTTATCTAGATTGATTGCATGGGATGGGCAGTTTCTGCAGTGATAGGAAACATGTTAAGACAAGTAGGTTGAAGTTACTTTGTGGAAAGCCTGGTGTCATTACCAATTTTTAAAATATTTTCCTGCAGAAATATGGAAACACTGAAAATTCGGTGGTGGTGGGGGCATTAGTCATTTAGGTGATTTTATAGATCGTGCTTTTTATCTTGAAGAGAAAATATCTGAACTAACTATATGACTGAGCAAATATGTAACTTCTCTGGCTTACTTTTCTGCTAAAATGATATTATTAATCTCACAAGGTATGTGAAAGAACCAAGGGACTCATAGGTTAGCCTGTACTGACTTGAGCAATCAATGAGACCATTGATTCAGTCCCATCAGAATGTAGGGACGAATGAATTTGCAGGCTTGGCTTTATCCTAAATTCAGATGAGGTGAACAGGATCTGGTTCCCTTTCTCTATTTCTCATCTCTGCTTTCCTAGAGTAGGTTCCATTCTCAAGGAAGCTCTCCCCAACTACAGACAATGTCTACCAATACTTAGAGATACATCCTTTCTAATCTGTATCCAGTGGGAAACATACTAGTTATCCTGTGGGGAAAAGGTGTTCATTCACAACAGACAATTTGAGGACCCCTCTCATATCATTTGCTGTAGGAGGGATTACATGAGAAACCATGGACCAGACAATGTGATTAATGAGGATGGAGAATGCTGCCAAATGGTACCTACCCCATAAATGAGGATAGCACTACCCCAACAGTGCATACTTTAAAAAAGTTTGATGAAAAAAATCCCCAAGAGAAATAATGGTATTTTTGGCAAAGGAAGGAGACTAGGGACACCTGGGTGACTCAGCGGTTGAGCATCTGCCTTCAGCTCAGGGTGTAATCTCCAGTCCGGGGATCAAATCCCACGTAGGACTATCCTGAAGGACATGAATGTAGAGGGTGAAGAAGACAGGATTTCAAATCTTAGTGAAGGAGGGATGGAGAATAAATGGAAATAGGGCAAGGAAAATCTGTAAATGAATCACTTCAAGGACTTCACACACTTCGGGGTCTGGTTCTCAAGTTTAGGAGTGAATAGGAAAAGATTATAAAAGAAGTCAAGAAGTGAATAGTTACACATCCTACTAAAAGGGACCTTCTTGAGATTGACCATCCCGTCATTCAGGCTGAATTGGACTATACAGGGTATTGCTAAGAGCACAATATAGATGCCCCCATCACATTCTCCATGGTAACAACAACAACAAAAAAAATCCACTGGGGCCTTGAAGTGGGAAATGGGAAGCATGAAACATAGAGATTATTGTCTTCCTGAGTCTCTAATGTTTTAAGAAGCATGTTTTGTTTTGTGTGGGGTTTTTTTGTGTGTGGGGTTTTTGGGTTGTTTTGTTTTGTTTTGTTTTGTTTTGGTAAGGAGGGAGTTGCATTTCTGCCAGTGTTCCAAAAAGGGAAGAGGAAATTCTAAATTATCTGGGAGAAAGCATAGTGACTGACAACCATGTCAAAAATCAATTTACACATGAGTCCAATCTCAAAATTGCCACAGATTTACTAATATAAATTCAGTCTTTTCCTGGCAAATGTTCTCCACATACTCCCAAGAATACTCACTTTTCTAACCTACTTAGGAGCCTTCCCCCCAGTTTGTGGGTTCTGCAAAAGGCCACTTTCATTTTAAGAGTCCAGAGAAGGGGAGAAGGAATAGGGAAATTGTCAAGACTAATTGAAGCTACAGCAGCAGATATGTTACTATGTGGCTCATGGCTGCTGCCTGCCCCCACCACCCTCCTCTACTTAGGGTTGCGAGATTGAGCAAATAAAAATATAGAATGCTCAGTCAAATTTGAATTTCGTATAAACAATCTTTTAGTGTGTGTCCCATGCAAAAAAAATATTTATAGTTTATCTGAAATTCGGATGTAACTGGGCATCTTGTATTTTGTCTCACAAACTTCCTCTACCTGCCACTCTCAAACTCCAGTCTTTCCCAGGGGGTCCCCATGGTTATTCCCTAGGAAACCACAACCTTCTCTTTCCCATGGTTTGTACCTCCCCTTCCCCAGAGGGAGGCTAAGTCAGCACCAGGTAAAACCAGGGTCTCTCTGCACCTAGAATCACTGCTCCCTTCAACCACCAAGCTCTGGATCCCAGTTGGACCCATTCTTTCAGACTTCTACACACAGGTGTCTCATGGCCTCTTCCTCTTACCCAGCCCCTCAGGGGACCCCAGACCATTGTGTAATATCTGTGTGACACATTATTCTGTATGTTCAGAATCCTTTCCTTTGGGGAACCACTCTCCCATTCCATGAGTTTTAAGAAGTGCTGATCCTTTCTTACTTAGCCCGCAGGTATGACCTAGGCCATCAGACTTAAGCCTATGTAATCAGAGAAGTTCATATTCCAAACCACAGTGGTTGTTCAAGGCTTGGCACATACCCAGGGTCAGGTCAGAAGCCTCTTCCAACTTCTCTGCTAGACCTATTGGTAAAGATGATTCTGTTCTTTTAGGGTTGTTGACTGTAAGGATGGCTTAAGTTGACACCCCTTATGTCCATCTTCTCTGATACATAAGAGCCACTCTATGAAATAAGAAGAAAGGGCTACTATAAAAAGAGCAATAGAAGGGAGAGAGAGTGAAAGCCTTGATGCCATTACCTATAAAGAGCTGGACATAGCTAAAACTAGAAGTCTGTTATCTGTAAAAAATAAATACAGTGGGTCATTTAATTTTTTGCTTCAGCTAGTTTGAACTGAATGTGAATCCTAATCAAAATAAATTATCTAAACCTCAATTACATGTTAGACCTATGTTTTTTTTTTAAATGGGCCTCCTTGACCCCATGAATATCCAGCAGTGTGGCTGGGCACCTGTTCCCTTGTTCCCAGATTCTCTATGATATTCAGGAGTTGGTCTGCTGTGAATATCTAATCTCTTAGGGGGTGACACAACCTCACCCACACTGGATGCCAGCCAGCCTCCGTAACAATGCAGTACAAATTACTCTTTAAATAAGCACATGTACACACATACTGTTTGTTACACATATTCTGGACACAAACACAGTCTATGTGTTCAATATATCATCTATATAATTATCAAATTTGGAGCCACCAAATTCCCTGTGTGAAAAAGAGTGAATTGTTATGATATCCCAAATTGACCACCCAAGTGAAGTTCCCTTAGATTCAGAAGTTTGGGCATGTCCAGCAGTTTGCTGGAAGTGGTACGTGTGGAATCAACTTGTAAGGAATCAGGACAGGAATAAAAATGTGTGAAAAGCAAAATGAGGAGTGTCTGTAACCTTTCTGTGGGACACTGAAGGTCAAGGCAGCACTGGCATTCTTGGCTGCTCTGGCACCAGCAGCAACAGCTGGGGTGAGAGTAGGTTTGTGGTGCCCACACCAGGTCCTCAGGGGCCTCTACTGTGTTGGCTGAGGGGTAGGACCAAAGAGATCTCTCTGAGGAACCCCAGAAATTTTTATTTATTTATATATTTTTATTTAAATTCAATTTGCCAACATATAGTATAACACTCAGCCCTCATCCTATCAAGTGCCCTCCTTAGTCCCTGTCACCCAGTTACCCTTTCACCCCACCCACCTCCCTTCTGCAACCCTTTGTTTCCCAGAGTTAGGAGTCTCTCATGGTTTGTCTTCCTCTCTAATTTTTTCCCACTCAGTTTCACTCCTTTCCCTCATTGTCCCTTTCATTATTTCTTATATTCCACATATAAGTGAAACCGTATGATGATTGTCCTTCTCCAATTGACTTATTTCACTCAGCATAATACTCTCCAGTTCCATCCACATTGAAGCAAATGGTAGGTATTCATCCTTTCTGATGGCTAATATTTTCTATTATATATATATATCTCACATCTTCTTTATCAACTCATCTGTTGAAGGATATCATGGCTCCTTCCCTATATTGGCTATTGTGCACATTACTGCTATGAACATTGGAACCCCAGAAATTGATGGGTCTCCTAAATGAACTTCAATTTCCTCATCTGTGAAACAAGAGTCAGGAACTGACCCCACCTATATTTAAAATTCCTTTGAATTCTTCTTGTCTATACAGAATGAGCCAGAGCAGAAAAAAAGGAATTATGACTTATCTCTGGGAACTGGCTGGTCTTTCCAAAAAGATAAGGGAGGTAATGGCATCACTGGGGACGAGTGACATGGTATTAGTACAGAACTAGGTCAAATCACAGTAGACTTTAAGACCAAAGGTCTGTGACAAGACATGGTTCATTTCCAACACAGAAATTCTAGAAGTTTCTAGAAAGATGGGAAGCTACTATTTATTTAAGCAGCAATTGATCACAAAACAGAGTCAAAGGGATATTCCCTTATAACCCAGTACAATATTTCTTTTAAATGTTGATATTAATATGCTTCACATTATCCAATCTTACAGAATGAGGACAATCCATAGTTTACCAATCACATGTTTGGTCACTAATATAAACATTAACATTAAATTCCACAGTAGAGGAGGTTATAAGCAGCTTCTGTAGGAGGAAGAGATGCTAAATAACTGAATTTGAGCCACTGATGGTAAATGTGATTGTTCCTAGGGACTCAGTCCACATGGCCTTTCCCTATGTCCTATATTCCAAGTTTTCTGATCCTGTATTATCTAATTTTCTTTTCTACTTGTTCTTCTGCCCTTCCACTCTCTCCAGTACCTATTAGTCTAATCTCTCATCTCTCCATTTTTTTTACACTCTGTCTTCCCCCATCTTCCTGTCCCTGATTCTCCAACCTTCCTGACCCTTCAGCTCTACTGTCCCATTCCTCCACTTCCCGTCCTACTGCTTCTACTCTCAGCATCTCTTGTTTCTCCATTTCTCTGCCTTTTCCATTAGAAGCCTCCATTTGTGTCTTTTCTATATTATCTTTGTCTGCAAAAGGACATTTTTCCTTCTCTTTCCATCTATTAATCAAGCTGGTTTTGACAGAAAATGAGTTACTGTCATGGGGTTTCTTTTTATTTGAACGTTGCATCTTAAGCGATACATCACTTATCTGAACACCTTTTACCAGATTCCTTATTTTAGACTGATTCAGGGAGAATTCCAAATCCCAGGCCCCTTTATGCTTTATAGATTTCATTTGTTCTTTAAAATGCTTCAGATCCTGCTTTACCAAGGGAGAAATTTTGAGGGAGAACTTTAGCTCGAAGTTCGAGGAGGTCTCTTTTTTCAATATGTCCAATAAAAAATGCATACTGAGGGTCATCTCCTCATTCTCTGCCTGCCTTTCTTCATCCAGAAGCCTCTTCACTTCTTTGCGGGACTCTTTCCCCAGCTGACTCTGGTCCTCTTTCACCAGGTAGGACATGGCATGAAAAAACTCCTGGAAGCTAATGTGGCGAAAGATATAGAACTTCTTGATGTCAAGTCCCTCTTGGTAATCCATGCTACTCAGAAAAGCAGCAAGTCTGGTCCCATCTAAATTGTGCTTCCTGAGGTCAGCTTCTTCAAACATGAACCTCTGGTGCTGGATCCCCTCAGCTGCTAAGGAGCACAGACCTTTCAGGACACTGTGCCGAGTAAGCTTGGAGCAGCCTTCATTGTCACTGGGGGGCAGGAAGGTGGAGACATAGGCCATGAAGATGTCTGTGCCATTACTGGGAGTCTCTGAGATCTCTCTGCCCTTCTCCATCTGCTCCTTGAGCCAGGAGCAGATCACCCAGCAAATGCCTGGAATTTGACATGATTTGTAGAGAACGTCATTTCCTCGTACAACGTCAAAGGCATTTCTGGCTTGCTCCTCATCCATGAAATAGGAGCTGAAATACCTCCTCCGCTCATCCTCAGAGAAGCCAAGGATGTGAATATGGTGTGATTGTTTCAGCAAGGGATTCAAATTCTGCAGAGCCAAGGGCCGGGTGGTGATAAGAAGTGAACATGTGGAAAGCACTTCTCTTCTAATTAGACAGTGCAGCACTTTCTCCATGGGGCTCAGCCTCAGACTCTTCAAGCCCCTTACAAAGGGTCTCTGCAGTTCATCAAAGCCATCCAGGATGAACAGCAGTCGCTCAGCCTCCCTCAGCATCTCTCTGACAGGTGCTTGGTTGTCCCCACAACACCAGAAGAGAAGCTGGTCCAGTACGCCCTCCTGCAACAGGACCACTTCTCTGCAGCTGACATAAAAGACATAATCAAACCGGCCTGGGTACAGGGTACCAGTGGCCCAGTCCAGCACCATTTTTCTGGCCAGTGTTGTCTTTCCAGTTCCAGCGGACCCCTGTAGCACCACTGTGGGCGGGGCTTGGTAGGACTTTTCTCCTGGATCAAACAGAGTCTCCACCGAGACAGAGTCCAATTCCTGCTCCAAGACAGGGCAGGCAGATGATTCTGGGCTCCCTGGGCTAGAAGTGGCCACCAGAAGCAGTTGACTGTGGCTGCCGCAGATTGACTCCTCTTGCCTCTCCTCTAGGCAGCAGCGCACATGCTCTCGATATATTTCTCTATAATCTGAGCCAGACACATGGGGTGTTAGTGGGTCAGACAGAAAGAAAGACAAAGAGGGCCCTTCAACTCTAGGCTCTGCTCTCTAGTTTCATCTTGTATACTCTCTGACTTCTATCTCTTGAAGTTTATATTTTGGGCTTTAAGGGGAAGGACCCCTGGACATGTGATGTGTTCCTGCACACAGACACATGCATGGTGTGTATATGCACATCCATGTGAGTGTGCAAGGGTGTGTTTCATGTGTGTGAGGATATTGGTGGGGTATGAGTGAGTGTATCCACGCACACTCATGGGAGTACACTTACACAAGTCTGTGTATTTTTGTGTGAGGAAGGTGCATCAGTGCGCATCAGCAAATGGGCATTTGTAAGAATACATGTATGTGCAAAAGTGTCTGTGCGTATGAATATCTGAGTGCTCCTGTGAAACATCCCCATTAGAAAGGTGAGGACAGAGTGGAGAAAGGAAAGGGAAGCTGGGGGATGGTGAAATAAGTAACAGGAGCCTGTTCTTGGTAATGATCAAGCTGTGTGCTCAGGATAAACCAGCTCCTGAGCAGAAGCTATGATTATAGGTCAGAAGAGCTCTCGGGTATAAGAGGGGCCCCTGGAGGGAACACAGGCACCTCCCCTGAAACCCCACAAGAAAGGACAGGCGACCTTCTGGGCTTCAAGCCCACATTGTTCTCTAGGGCAGCATTGATCCTCCTGTTTCTTGAGAGAGCAGAAAGCAGGATGCAGGAGCAGGCTGTCCTCTGTGGAAAGGAGTCTGGGCTGCCCGCTGGGACAGCAGCTAAGGAAAGATCTGACCCCCTCACCCCAAGGCCATTCCTGCTGATTAGTGGAAACCCCTTCACCAACACCATCTTCATTCAATCTCTAAGCCCTCTCTGCTACCCTACTCTTCTCTGGCACTACAACTGGAAGTAGGAGGTGGGGCATTATGGCTAATGTAGTCTTTCTATGAATCTCCATGCCTTGGCTCAGGCCCTGTCCCTACACTTGTCAGAGCCTTTAGCTGGAGACCACCAGGTCCTTGGGCACTGGTGCTCCCAGGCACAGAAAGAGGGCAATAGGGAGAGACAGCAAAAATTCCAGGCTATGGGAGTCTCTGGAAATGTCACAGGGGTGGGAGAGTCCTGGTGCCACCCTGACCTCCCCCTCCCCTCATCCCTGGCTCCACTCACCGTTCAGACAAATGTGGCTGAGCTGGTCCACTGGTTCCAACAGGTTCATGACCCTCAGGACCCTGACCACCACCTTCACGGCCTCCAGTGCTCCATAGAGTGAAATCAGCCGAGAAGCCAGGTCCACCGGGCTCAGGCCCTCCAGTTCCCCACGTGCCAGCTGCAGCCGCCCCTCAAGCAGGCTTCTGTCCCGTAAGTGAAACTTGAATAGCTTGAAGTTTTTCTCCTCAAGGTCACTTAAGGCCCAGAGCAATGCCTCCCGGGGGTTGCGAGTCAGGGCCATGGTGTTGGGGTGAAGGGTTGAGTTCAGACCTGTGATCTGGAGAAGCAGGAGAGCGGGGAAGAGAGGCAGGTGCTGAGGGAAGAGCAGCCTGCAGGCACCTCAGCCGCCTGCTTTATTTAGCAAGCTGCTGAGCGCAGGCCAAGGAGAGATGAGAAATGCGCGAAGTTCCAAGAAAGGCGAGCAGGTGAGACAGCAAGGAACTTTCCTATGCATTCCCCACTGTGCCCCTTTGTCCACTGGCTGATGTGTGTCTGTGCCAGCAAATGAGAAGGAAGGTGTGTGGGTGTGTAGATTCTATCTCTCCATCTCTCTCCTCCACCCTCCTCTTGTTCACACCACGGTTTATCAGGCCCTAACTGGCTGCTTAAGGCAGTTTGGGTTACAAATAGACACTTTTTTTTTTTTTTTTTTTTTTTTTTTTTTTTTTTTACGTTTTACAAGTGAGCCTCTCTCTGACTTTGTGAACCTATACAGAATATTTACTGGGACTGCTGAGAGGAATGGCAAGAAGGTAGAAACTCTATACTCATCAGCCCCTTGGCTTCACACAGAATTTCAAAGCTGGAAATCTTCTAATTCAGATAAGGAGTTAAAGGCAGCCCGGGTGGCTCAGCGGTTTAGCGCCTTTAACCCAGGGTGTGATCCTGGAGACCCTGGATCGAGTTCCACATTGGGCTCCCTGCATGGAGTCTGCTTCTCCCTCTGCCTGTGTCTTCTGCCTCTCTCTCATGAATAAATAAATAAAACCTTAAAAGAAAAAGATAAGGAGTTAAGTTCAAGTAATAAGAGAAACAGCTGTACTTTGAGGACTCACTAGTTGTTATCTCTTTTGATCATCACAGAAATTGTCTTGGGGATCACTCCAGATGAGAAATTTGACAGAGAAGAGTGGGTTTTCCAGAGCTGGACCAGTGGGCAAAAAGGCAGGATTTATATCATGGCCTATGACCTAGGTAAATAGGGACAGAAAGAGGTGAAAAGACAAAACCATTCAAGACAGGAGAAGAAAGTAGGTCATTAGACTAACTGCTATCCCACACTGGAGACCGATATAGATATGAAGGGAGAGGGGGATCTTGTGTTGTGTTGAAAGTATATAACGAATATGTTGGTGGAATGGCAGTCTTCGGAAGAAGACAAGCAAATATTGGCAGAAACTTTCAGAGTCCAGAATTATCCGCTCTGATCCATAACCAATGGGGAATCCATCTCCATAGCAAAATGGCTGAGAGTTAGAAGAAGGTATTTGGGAACAGAGACCATTGCTGAGATTCAAATATCAGCATTTTAACTACACACCAAAAACAGATAAAAAAGTTTAGGAGAATATTAGACTACAATGGACTATGGGTGCAAGTCATAGGGTCATTTGCAAAAGCAAGCCTGTTGACATAGGAGCGAATAAAGCCTCAGACTTACTGAAAATCTCTGCTGTTAGCAGAGCTAATTCAGGAAAGAGCAAGAAAAGATGGCACTATAGGATTCCATGGAGATGTGGGGTCTAGGCTTCAGGCCATTTGGACTCAAAGAGCTGGTGGTAAGGTGGGGATGACTCACCTCCCTGATGACTTCACCAGATTTTAAGCCATGACTTTGGGACTGAGTAGAAACAGATTTTTTTTTTCTAGTCAAACAGACCTCAAGCCAAGCCTAGATCCACTTAACCCAAACCCATTAGTTCACTTCTGCTTTGTGGTGCTGGTATTAAAAGGATAAGTGGAGGTTCCTGGGTGGTTCAGTTTGTTAAGCGTCTGACACTTGATTTTGGGTCAGGTCATGATCTCAGGGTCATAAGATTGGGATCTGTGTCAGATGAGGAGCCTGCTTAAAATTCATTCTCTCCCTCTCCTTCTGCTCCTGCCCCCCAGCTCTCTCCCTCTGAAAAAAAAATAAAATAAAATAAAAAAATAAAATAAAATAAAATAAATAAACAGGTGGGACAACCCTGACACCTCTCCTTTAATATGTAAAGGCACTGGTACACGTGGGGCTGGAACAGATGAAGTGCTCCTGGTCCTCCTCAGAGCAGCACAAACACCTACACATTCTATCTGTCGGTACATGAGTACTGCTCACCAGAGGAGAACTTGACCTCATTCTTCCACATATTAAGTTGAGAAACAAAGGAGGGGCCAAAGGGATGACTTGCTCTGGTTCCAAGAAAATAAAAGAACCCAACAGCCCCTTCATCTCTTCTCTGCAATCCCAGTGCTCTCCTACCACTTGATGTGCGGCCAGGCTGGGGAAGTTTGACTTGAGATGCAAAGGAATTGAGGTGCTGTCACCACCATGTCCAAAGCCATGGCACCATTTTAAGTTGTTGAAACCACTGGAGGATGTGCTTGATCGAAGTGAAAAGGGAGAAAGACAGGAGCTCCATGAAACAGGAATCCAAACAAGGAGGAAAGCAAAGTCCCTCAAGGCAGCTGATCAGAGGACCTAGAGCATTGTGACAGGACAGAAGCCAGGACTGAGGAGAATGGGGCACTCAGACCATCTCCAAGGGAAAGGAAGAACTGACAGAGTAACTGATGCTACTAAGCCCTCTGGACGACCCTAACAAGAGGCTACTAGGAGGTATGGAAAAATTAACATTAAGTACCAAGAATGAATGAAATAAAGAAATTACTCCTTCTGGGATAAAAAAAAAAAAAACAAGAAAGACAGAAGTTTACATAAGAGTAAACTACAGGGCAGCCCCCCGTGGCTCAGCGGTTTAGCACCGCCTTCAGTCCAGGGTGGGATCCTGGAGATCAATCCCTGATTGGAGCCTGCTTCTCCCTCTGCCTGTGTCTCTGTCTCCTCTCTCTCTCTCTCTCTCTCTCTCTCTCTCTCTCTCTCTTTCTCTGTCTCTCTCTCTCTCTCTCATGAATAAATAAATAAAATCTTAAAAAAAAAACAAAATGAGATACCACCTCACACCAGTGAGAATGAGGAAAATTAACAAGACAGGAAACAACAAATGCTGGAGAGGATGTGAAGAAAGGGGAACCCTCTTGCACTGTTGGTGGGAATGTGAACTGGTGCAGCCACTCTGGAAAACTGTGTGGAGGTTCCTCAAAGAGTTAAAAATAGACCTGCCCTACAACCCAGCAATTGCACTGCTGGGGATTTATCCCAAAGATACAGAGGCAGTGAAATGCCAGGACACCTGCACCCCGATGTTTATAGCAGCCATGTCCACAATAGCCAAGCTGTGGAAGGAGCCTCAGTGTCCATCGAAAGATGAATGGATAAAGAAGATGTGGTCTATGTATACAATGGAATATTACTCAGCCATTAGAAATGACAAATAGCCACCATTTGTTTCAATGTGGATGGACCAGGAGGGTATTATGCTGAGTGAAGTAAGTCAGTCGGAGAAGGACAAACAGTGTACGGTCTCATTCATTTGGGGAATATAAAAAAATAGTGAAAGGAAATAAAGGGGAAAGGAGAGAAAATGAGTGGGAAATAACAGAGAGGGAGACAGAACATGAAAGACTCCTAACTCTGGGAAACGAACAAGGGGTGGTGGAAAGGGAGGTGGGCGGGGGATGAGGGTGACTGGGTGACAGGCACTGAGGGGGGCACTTGATGGGATGAGCACTGGGTGATATATGTTGGCAAATTGAACTCCAATAAAAAAATATATACAAAAAAAAACATAAAAATTACCAAAGTAAGAATAGAGAGTAAAGAAATTGATGAGCTAGTAATACTGTATTGCATATTTGAAAGTTATTAAAAGGAAATCTCAAAAGTTCTCATCACAAAAAAGTTTCTGGAACTATGTATGATGGTGGATGTTAGCTATATTTATTGCTATATTTATTTATATTTATTGGTGGTGATCATTTCACAATATAAACATATTGAATCATAATGTTGTAAACCTGAAATTAATACAGTGGTGTACATCAACTAAACCTCAACGTGAAAGAAAGAAAGAAAGAAAGAAAGAAAGAAAGAAAGAAAGAAAGAAAATAATGTGTATAGATATATCTTTCAGGAAACTTGGCAACAAAAGCAACTGAGAGGTCCTGAGAAGATGTGAGAAATGTGGGGCCAAGAGAAGATCTTGTTTGTTTTAACATGGGAGAGGGTGGGAAGGATTTGAATGCTGACAAAAATCATCTGACAGAAGAATTGGGTTAGAAATGCAGACAAGAGGGGCACCTGGGTTGCTCAGTGGTTGAGCGTCTGCCTTCAGCTTGGTCGTGATTCAGAGTCCTGGAATCCAGGCCCACCTCAGGCTCCCTGCAAGGAGCCTGCTTCTCTCTCTGCCTATGTCTCTGCCTCTCTCTGTGTGTCTCTCATGAATAAAAAAAATGCAGACAAGAGAGAGAAATACCAGGGGAGAGAATTGGGCTGTGGATTGAGGTAGGACTCAAAGTAAAGGCAAAAGACTAGCCTTTGATGGGAGGATGGAGGGTACATCTTCCATCCATGCCTAAAGAAAGTGACAGGGTCATATGGCAGAGCAAGGCAGTTCTATGGGTTTTGTGGTCAGATGAGGGTACTCATGCCTGGTGGTCCCTGTATTCTCTATGAAAGATGAGTAGGAGTATCTCCTAGGGGTGCGAGGGCAGGTAAAATGGGGAGAAGCCATGAGGAAACAATTTAGAGCCTCTCCTATGCACCTTTCCCTCCCCCTCCAAGGCTTCTCATGCCCAGTGCTCAGTGAGTTCTGCCAGAGTCCAGGAGAATAGGCAGGAATGGAAATTGGTCTCTCCCAGAGCCTTAACCAAGCTAAGGCTAGAGACAGAAGCAAGACAGAAAAGAACCAAGCCCGAGAGACAAAATGGGAAAATAGAGTGAGACACAGCCACACAGATCATGTGACACAGAGAACAGAGTCCATTAGCTGAGAAGGCTCTCAGATCGGCCTCTCCTAGAAGGTCCCATGTCTGGAGATGATGGGTCAGGGACTGAGAGTCACACCTGAAGGAACAGAAATGAGATATTTTAAAAAACACATTTTAATTGAAGGGTGGAGGCAGGACATGAAATGAGGCCTCCCTCCCTGTAACACTGGCTTGGCTATGGACAGAACTGGCAACTGGAGTAATTGAGTTCCAAAAGGGAAGGGGCAGAGACAAAAGAGACAGAGATACAGGGTGGAAACAGTAAGAAACTAAAAAACACAGAAGACAGGAATAAGCAGATGAAACAGAGGACCCTCGTGACCATTTGAAAGTATCCATCTCTGCCAGGAGAG